CCTCCCCGGAGGGACCCTCTCAACTTCCCAGCACCGAAGCGGAGCCCGGGAGATGGGGGCGGCGCCGACTCCCGGGCAGCCCCGGGGGACAGCAGCCCCTCCGCCCCCACCCCCGACCCCCATGTCCCGGACCTCAAAGCCCTTTCTAAAGGGTCCCGCTCCGTCCGCAGGGAAGACGCCCCAGGGCGCAGGTGGACCCCCGCTGTCCCAGCTCCGCCCCCCAGCTCCCACCCACCTGTGGCTTCTCCCGAGTTGAGGGTCCAGGCATCCGGGGGGGAGGGGAGGGAGGTGAGTGTGGGGCTGACGGCGCGGCCAGCCGACCCTCCCCCATCCCCCATCCCCCATCCCCGTCCCCCTCTCCCTGCCCCTCCCCCCCGGACTCAGCCTGGGGCGGGGTGGGGTCCCGGCAGCCCCCGCGGGACCTGGGGGCCCTGCACCCACCTGCCCGGGTTGGGGCGGCCGGAGGCTGGATGCTGTCCGGCGGACACTCCGGGGTCTGGGCGCCGAGGCTCCGGCCGCGTTCAATACGGCGCAGCGCGGCGGCTCATTCACCGGCGGGAAGCCGCCCAGGCCGCCGTATTCCTCCGAGTAGAGCCGCGCGCCGCTGCCCCGCCCGCGCCGCGTCCCCGCAGCATCCGCCCCCACGGGGGGGGGGCACCGAGGACCGGGGGGGAGGGGTGCAGGCGGTCCCTGATACCCCCGTAGCGCCGTGTCTGCGCACCCGCGGAGTCGGGGACCACAGGAACCCCGAGCCCTGCTTCCGTTCATGGAGGGGCACGGACCCACACCTGCTGGGGCCGTTTCTCTGCTGAGCAGGTTTCCGCATTACAACGATGAGTAAAATGATAGTAATAATAACGCAGCTGAATTTATTATTGAGCTTTCTCTGTGCCAGCTCTTGACGTCCTCCCCCTAACTCTGGGGGGGGGGGGCCTTGCTGCCCCAGTCTGTAGACCAGGAAGGTGAGAGTTTCCTTCTAGAATTAAGGACCAGGCATCTGCTCAGTGCAACCTCCCAAGAAGCCGGCAGGGAGCTGCCCCTTCATTTCACTGACAGTGTTTACTGACTGGACACTGGACGGTGACCTGGACGCTGGGGACACGGCTGTGACGAGGGACGCAGCTCCTGGCTTTGTGATGCTCCCAGTGGGAGGGACCTGACAGAGAGGCACACAGGCACGAGACAATTGTAGGTCTAGTGACAAAAATGTAACAGGAAGCTGTGCCTGGAGAGAGGACAGGGCACCCACGTGCTGTTCCCAGATCAGGAAGCCCACGAGGGACAAGCCTGGGACGCGACCCCGGCCTGGCAGCTCCTGGGACCACGGGGTCCCTCGGATTTCCACCCCTTCTGTCTCGTGATCCGCCAGCCCAGACTTCCCTGCTGCCTCACTCCTTGCCCTCCCTCTCAGCCTCAGTTTCCCCTTCCTTTTTTTTTTGTGAGGAAGATTGGCCCTGAGCTAACATCTGCCAATCCCCTTTTTGCTGAGGAAGATTGGTCCTGGGCTAACATCCATGCCCATCTTCCTCTACTTTATATGGGACACTGCCACAGCATGGCCTGACAAGTGGTGCATCGGTGCGTGCCCGGGATCCAAACCGGCAAACACCGGGCCACCGCAGTAGAACGTGCGTACCTAACTGCTTGCACTACTGGGCCGACCCCTCAGTTTCCCCTTCTGGAACCCAAGGCCGACCGGTCCAAGTCCAGTCTCGGTTTTTGAGGAGCCACCGAGACAGAGTACGACCAGGACTGAGGCGGACTCGGGGAGCCTGGGCTTCATTACATCGTGATTGGGCAGGAGCCTCCTGTGTTCCCAGAATGTCCCCAAGCCTCGTCATGGCCCGAGCTGGGATGGGGCTGATCTGGAGTGACCACGGGTTCAACAGCAGAACGTGGTGCAGGGGGGCCCTGGAGGGGAGCCCCAGCCCTCCAACGTCTCCACTCGACTTCAGCCTGGGGTGGGGTTTAGGGTCCCGCTGTCCAGATGGGGAGAGCGAAGCTGCCGTCCGTGGCCCCTGCTGGGCCTGGAGCTGTGGGAGGAAGGGCGACTCCTGGAACAGTGCTCTCTCCTGCAGCAGGCATGAGGGGGGCCTCGGGGACCACGGGCCACCGTCCTCCACAGCAGAGACAGTGACAATGGGGTCCAGGAAGGGGAAGTGACCAGCTCGGGTCTTCGAGGAGGGACAGGCCGGCCTGGGTACTGGGGCCTCCCTCCCCGTTCACGTCTGCGCGGCTGGGGGCAAGGTCTCTCCTCCCCGATGGGTTGGGGGAAGAGGCAGTGAATTGATTGTGTGCTGGTTCCTGTGCTAAGCAACTGGGGACTCTAATCTGGATTCGGGGTTCGAATCCTGGGGCCGGCCCTTCCTGCTGGGTGACTTCTGGCAAGTGTCCCGACCTCTCTGTGCCTCCGTCGCCTTGTGGTCCATGGGCATAAAAACCGTCCCTGCATCACGGCATCAGAGGGAGGACTCAACAGGTTACACGTGCAGAGCGCTTAGAGCAGGGGCCTAGAACACGTGCCGCGTGAGTGCTGGTCGACTTCATTTCCGACGCTGCTCCCCGTGAGGAAGGGGGCCCAGCCGGGGGAGGCCTTGCCAGGCCCAGAATCGAACCCCAGACCCCTGACCCCACCACAGCCTAGCTCAGCGAGATGCCCCACCCCATCACATTGGGGGCTGGGGAAACTGAGGCCCAGAGGGGTGAGGTACCTGGGGACGGATGCCTGTCCTGTGGGCCCCTGCAGACGACACCCCGGGAGGAGCGGGGGCGGGGAGGCTGGTCCTCACAGCTGCTGAGCTGGCTCCGGGGTCCGTAAACGGGAACCTCTCCCGTCAACAAAACCTTCTGCCTCCTCTGCGGAGCGCTGTGGCAGGGCCCCCAGGACTCCCCCACACCCTGAGCTGCAGCCTTCCCGGAATCAGAGCTGGGAGGCTGCAGGCCTAGGCCCACACCGGGGAGGGGGCCCCGGTGGTATCCACCAGCCCCTCCTGCCCCTCCAGAGTCATGCAGCCTCACGACGGTGACCTCGGGCCTCAACACCCCTAGGGACCCGCTGTGTGGGGAGCGGGAGTGGCGGGTCCAGGCAGGGGCCGGGCTGAGTCGTAGGCTGCCCGCCGCGGCGTCCAGCGGGAGGAGGCACAGGGAGGTGGCTCGGAGAAAAGGGCCTGAGATCCAGGAGCGGCTTTGTGCCCCTGCAGGTTCCCTCTGAGCTGTGTTGTCCCCTGGAAAAGGGGAGCGAAGGCCTGTCCACGAGCTCCCAGGAGGGACCCGGGCCGACAGGGCCCAGGGGAGGGCCGTTATCCCCGGTTTCCAGGTAAGGAAACTGAGGCACGGGGGAGGGGCCCGGTTCTGCAGGGCGCTCAGTTCAGGGAAGGGAATTTGAACCCATGTCTCTACTGCCTCCCACCCCAAGGCTCCCTGAGGGCGAGGCTGGGGCAAGGAGCGTTTGTTGACTGAATAATTGAAGGTAGAATGGGGCAGGAGACAGGTGTGGGGTGTCACCGCTGTGGGGGTGACACCCTGGACCCGGCTTTCCCAGCTCAGGGAGCAGGACGGGGGAGGTGATTGGCAGATCCCGGCTCTGCCACCTCCCAGTGGTGAGGCCTTGAGCAAGTCGCCTCGCCCCTCTGAGCCTCCGTTTCCTCATCTGTGAAGCGTGGAGAAGTCGGGCACCCCGAGTGTGTGGGGTCTCAGCACAGGCCCCAGCAGAGTGCTAGATAAACAGGGACTTTGGCGGGGCACCTGGGCCTCGGGGGACCCAGGGCTATGAATGAATGAATGAATGAATGAATAAAGTGCATTTAGACCCCTCTCTGGCCTACAGATCTCTGGAACCTGACACTTCCTCACCCCAGTGCACCCTCCCAGCACCCCCAGCCCCCTGTCCCCATCTTGCCCCCAACAGTGTATGTCCCTCTTGGGAGGCTCGTCACCTCTGTCCTTCAAAGAGCCCTCAGCTCTCCCGGACACCAAGCTTTGCCCCGGCCGTGTCCTCCACTCCACTGCACCCCCCACCCCCATCTCACCTCCAGCCACATCCTTCCGTCCATCCTTCCACCTCCTGAATGTGCTGTGCTCCACACACCACGGGGCCCTTGCACGTGCCATTCCTCCGCCCAGGACCCTGTCCTCCTCAGCGGGGCTCTCCCACTCACCCTCCAGATCACCGTCCTGTGTCGTCCCCACAGGGAAGCCCTCCAGGATTTCCCGGATCCCTAAGCTCCAGGGATCTCCGTTCCACAGCCGACATTATACACTGAGCGGTGACCTGCTGACTGAGGTCATTTGACTGTCAAGTCCACGAAGGCAGGTCCGCCCTGCTCACTGTTGCACCCCCGTTACCCAGCAGAGGGCTTGGCAGAGAAGAGGAACTCAACGCAGGCATGTTAAAGGGCATCAGGATGGAGGACTGTGGATGGATGGGCCAATGAATGGAATGAATGATAGATGGGTAGTTAGATGGATGAGTGGATGGATGGACGGATGGATGGATGGACTGGTGTCTCAGTCTCCACGTCTCTGAAGTAAGAGACACGGCATCCGAGTCCCCTCCTGGGTGTACCTTTGACAGCTTCATCCCTCATTACGGGCAGACCGGAGTGGCTTTTATTCCCCACACTTCTCGGGCCCCCCAGGGCATGGAGTGGGGCCTGCTGACCGCAGAGAGATCCAGACCCAGAGATCCAGACCCTGGGGCAGGGGTGCGGGGAGGGGTGGGGGCCCTCAGAGGCCCCCCATGGAGGGAGAGATGCCTCCATGCTTGTGGGAGGAGTTGGAGGAGGGTCCTGGGGAGACACGGGGGTCCCTCTGGGAGGGCGGGTCTCAGAGGTCACGTGGGGGAAGGTCTGGAGGAGAAGTCAGGCATCGGGGACAAGTAGGGGCTTTGAGGGCGACGTCTGGAGAAAGACGTCTGGAGAAAGAAGTCGGCCGTATTTGGGGTAAGTCAGGAGCAGTTTGGAGAAGAAAACAAGAGGCTTCTTGCCAGATACATCGGAGAGTCTTAGAGTTTTGCGGCATTTGGAGATAAACTACGGTGTTTCATAGAGAAGTCGGGGTGTGCTTTCTCTCGGGATAGAAACGGGGGTGCCTGAGAGATGGGGGGACTCAGGAGAGCGTGGACGCACCCACAGGCCCAGCTCCCCGTCTCCATCTCCCGCCCTCGTCCCCGCCTCCTCCAGCCCCGGGGAGGCCAAACCTGGGCCCCCTCGGCTTTCCCGCGGAGACTGACCCGGCCCCCCAGCCCGGGGGGCCCTTGTGTGCAGGGGGCTCACGCTCCTCTCGGTCATTCCCAGGTTTAATTACAAACAGATTCCAAATGTCGGGTCCAGGCTGACAGCCGGGAGGGCGGGGGCCTCACCACCCCCTGACATGTGTCAGTTGTCTTGGAGTTGCCTGGATGCCCCCCTCATCCCAGGGGTGCCCCGAGCTTGCCCCTCACTTCCAATCAGCACGTACCCCGGCCTGAGGACGCAAACCACCTCAATTCTCCCCCAAAAAGACAACTGTGCACCAATTTTTCAGGTGGAAAAACCGAGCCCGGGCAGGACAGGAATCCATGTCCACCAGAGAATGGGGAACCCCCTCCCCCCCATTCCAGGGAGAGACGCTGAAGTCCAGCCAGGAAGGGACGGGGCCTGCTGGCCCATCGGGGACCTCGGCCAGCACTGCTTTTCGATACATTTTCTTTAAAGGCAAGAAGAGGCCCTGTCTTTGGTATGTACACCCCCGCTCCAGGCGGAAGGCAGAGGCAAGCAGGGGGCTCGCAGAAAGGGGTCTTGGGCCCCGTCTCCTGGCCTGGTTGACCCAGCCCAGCCAGGGCCGGCTGGAGGAGGAAGATTCCAGAAGCCCACGCGGAGGAAGGAGAGACAGCGGCATTCCGGCCTGACCAGGGTCCAGAGAAAGGCTGAGGAGCCCATAAGGCCACGACAGGGGCGTCTGGGGAGCTGGACACGAGCCAGGGCTGAGAACCATCACCTGGGGAGAAAGCAAAGGAGAGGTCAGGGATCAGCTGAGACAGCAACCAGACCCCTGGGTCCCAGGCTCGGAACCTCAGCTACAGTGAGGGGCCTCAGGCCCAGGGGCCTGGGTTCGAGTCCCAGTTCTTGCTGTGTGACCTAGGGTCGTGCCCCGAACTTCTCTGTGCTGTTTCTTCTTCTGCAAAACAAGAATGCTAATAACAGTGCCTGTCTCAGAACTGCGTGGAGGTCAGTGAAGATTCAGGGAGGGGAAGGCACGGGGCCTGGACACAGCTGCGTTGGCAGCTATCATTACTGCCGTCGCTATTATTTCTTGGTTCACAAATGCCTCTGGGGACAGGAGGGGAGCAGGCGGTACCCACAGCCCCACAGCGCTGCGGGTCATCTGGGTGTTCCGTGGGACCGCCCCCACCCCCGAAGCCGTTCCCCAGATTGGGAACCCCTTCTCTGCCTTCGTGAGGCCTGGCTGGGGGCAGGGAGGAGGCCGGGCGAGTGGGGGAGGAGACAGGAAGGAGACCGTTGTCATGGGGACCGGAGAGCAGCCCAGCCAGGCCCAGAAGCTCCTCTGGCTCAGCCCCTGGGGAAATTCCACAGCCCCTTCCCCTGAGGCCCCTCCTCCCCAGCTCCTGGCTTCACCGTATCCCGGTCCTGTTCCTCCCCCCAAAGTCTGCTCTGCCCCCCCACCCCTCTGCACCCAGTTCAGACGCATCCTCACCCCACAGCCCCCCCCTCACCAGAGACGTCCTGGAGTCGCCCACAGCTGCCTGCCCCCCCACAAAACCCTCCCATGGCTCCCGTCACCCAAAGTGAAAGGGGCACTTGTCCATCTCAGCACCAGGACCCCCGGGCCAGGCCCCGCCGGCCCCTCCTCCAGGAGATTTTTACCAGCAGTCAGTCACAGAGTTACCATAACAACTCAGCAGTTACACCCCAAGGGCAACGAAAACACACATCGGCACAAAACCTGCACACACACGTTCACAGCGGCATCATTCACAGCGGCATCGTCCATAACGGCCAGAAAGTAGGAACACCCAAATGCCTATCAACAGGTGAATGGATACACAAGACGTGTCCACCCACACACTGGAATATGATGCAGCCGTGAAGAGGAGTGAGGCCCTGAGACAGCCACACCGTGGACGGACCTTGAACACACGACGCTCAGTGAGAGAACCGGACACAGAAGGACACACGGTGTGTGATCCCATTGATGTGAAATGTCCAGAACAGGCGCATCCACAGACAGAACGTGGGTTTGTGGTTGTCAGGGGCTGGGGAGGGGGATGGGGAGTGACTGCTGATGGGGACGGGGTTGCTTTTGGGGTGCTGGAATGTTCCGGAATTAGATGGGCGATGGTTGCACAGCTCTGTAAAGATGCTAAAAGACACTGAGTTGTACCGTCTAAATGGGTGAGTTGTGTGGTATGTGAATTCCTTCCCAATTTTCAAAATGAGAAAAAATCCCGGCGACAGGGCAGACGCCGGGAGCCGCGGGCCGACCGCACACCTGGCTCAGGGCTCCCGCTTGACCACGCCACGCAGGTGCAGCTCGCTCTCGGCGGCCACGATGGGCTGCCCGTTCTGCAGGTGGTAGTCGATCAGGTGGCTGATGCTCTCGAACAGCACGTCCTTCGTCCGCACCTGCGGGACCAGAGGCTCCGCATCAGCACCACGGGGGCCGGTCAGAGAGGCAGTCACTCGGGCCAGCCCCAGACCTCTGAGGCGGGTTCGGCGTTCTCACGAGTCCTACGGTGGCTCCCACGCACGCTCACGTCTAGAACCACCGGATCAGAGCCTGCCAGGACCCCAACTCCAGAACCAGCCTCAGGATTCCAGAACCATGTATGGACACAGGCTCCAAAACCACTAGGATCCTGGGGCCACACTTCCTACAGGGGTTTGAATCGTGGCCCCCAAATGATGTCTACGTCCTAACCACTGGAACCTGCGAATGGGACCCTGTTTGGAAAAAGTGTCTTTGCAGACGTGGGTTTTTTTTGTGTATGTGAGGAGATCAGCCCTGTGCTAACATCTGCCAATCCTCACTTTTTTTGCTGAGGAAGACTGGCCCTGGGCTAACCATCCGTGCCCATCTTCCTCCACTTTATATGGGACGCCGCCACAGCATGGCTTGACAAGCAGTGCGTCGGTGTGCACCCGGGATCCGAACCAGCGAACCCCGGGCCACTGCAGCGGAGCACGGGCACTTAACCGCTTGCGCCACCGGGCCGGCCCCTGCAGACGTGTTTAAGGGAAGGGTCTTGAGATGAGCTCATCCTGGGTTACCTAAGTGGCCCCAAATCCAATGACTGTCTGTGTAACAAGAGCAAACGTGGACGCAGAGACACAAGGAGGACACCGCGAGAAGGCAGAGGCCGCGACTGGAGCGATGTGGCAACAAGCCGGGAGAACAGCAAGGATCAGCAAGGATCGTGGCAGCCACGAGAAGCCAGGAGAGATGGAACAGACCCTCCCTCACGGCCTCACAAGGAAGCAGCCCTGAGACACCCTCCACTCAGACCCCTGGCCTCAGAACTAGGAGAGAATACATCTGTTGCTTTAGGCTGCCCAGTTTGTGGTCGTTTGGTGGGGCAGCCTTAGGAGATGAATACACCCCTGGAATCTTGGACACACAGGTCCGGAAATCAGAATCACCAGATCCAAAAGCCACGTGTGTCTTAGAATGAGAAACCCTCGGCACCACTGTGAGCGGAACCGGATGCAACGCTGTCTGCAGATGCCCCTGGACGCTGCTGGGCTCAATAGACACACCACCCGGGGAGGAGGCTTAAAATGCACATTCCTGGGCCTGATGGCAAACCCTCTATTTCCACGGCACTGGGGATGGGACCTGGGAGCCTGCATTTTCACCAAGTATGAGGAAGTTCTGAAGCTTTTCCAGGGTTGGGAGCCACTGGTCTAACCCTGGAGGCCCCTTTAATGGAGAGGAACGCAGGCCTGGGAGACACCCCACGCCAGGCCAGAGGTTGTGGCTGTGAGCAGCGAGACCCGACACAGGGGAGAAGGTGGCTCAGAAACCGAAAAAGCAGGCACTGGGGACACGGCCCTAGTGGCCCGACGTACGACCGCCCCCCACCTGGGTGTACCCCATAGAGAGACAGCAGCACCCAGCCACCAACGGCAGGTCTGAGGATTCAGCTGGAGGGTAAACTTGGAGAAGGCTCTCAACGCCCCAAACACCTTCTCACCTGGGGAATAACCTGTAGGGCCCGAGGCCCTGGGACACTGAGAAATGCTTCATAAACCCTACAACTCCTGGTAAGTTGGAAAATGCTTTGTAAACCCTAAAATACTTTAGGAACTGTAGAATACCAAATCTCATCGGCTTAAAGCAACTGTAAGATGCATCACTATTTTATGCACCACAAGGAGACAAAAAAAAAAAAAATCCCAATTAAATAGTGATGCAGTTCAAAGACACAATTATGGTTAAAAAAAATCCAGACTTCAGAGATGTCAAAATGAGAGACAAGAGAGCTGTGGACCAGAGGCTTGAAGCAATTCAGTAACTCGACCCCACAACTCGTAAACTGAAACGTGCTTTGTGAGCCCTAAAATACGTCAGAAACCCAAAATACCGTATTTATCACTCCAAGATATCACTCCTTGTAAGATGCTTTAGCAATGATAGAATGTAGGGGGGGAAGTGCATCTTACAATTGATGAAATAGGGCACTTTGTATGAAAGCATGAAAGGCCTTGAAATTGGAAAAGGTTTTGTAACTCCCAAAATGCTTTATAGACTGGGAAATCCTTTGTAAACCCTAAAATTCTTCTTCAACTGGAAAGTACTTTGTAATTCTGGAGTACCTGGTAAACGGGAATAGAATCTGTAAACATAAAGGGCTTTGTAACCCAGAAAATACTTCCTTAAACCTAAAGGACGCTAAGAAGGTGGGCGCCCTAGGCCCTGGG